GGAAAGAGGAGGTCACACTGCTGCTCCTTCACAGTGTGTGTCCTGGCAGTATCCACCCAGCTCATGGTCCCCTGTTCTTTTGGAGAGCCTGCTCTGGCTGCCCACACTCTCCTCTTGGTAATGTTTTGGTGATGGCTGAGCACAAACATGCTTGTCCTCCCTATCCTGCTGGGCAGTGATTCTAGCTAAAATTAAGCTATCTAGTGTTCACACTGAAGGTGTGAAGGGATCATCTCCAAGGGCCACAAAGCAGTGTGGCTGCTCCCCACCACTCTCCCCAGGGACTTGCAGAGCCAGTACTGGTTAGTCAGTGTCTCTTTCTCCAGCAAGAAAGACTATTTCAGGGCAAATGGTCAGTCAGCATTAGGACTCCATGTGGTGCAGTGACCACCATTAGGAATCTTGAGGGTGGCTGGATAAATCTAGCATAGCTGTGTCATGGCAGGCAGGACTGAGGCTTTAGAAAGACTGAGAAGAAAGCCCCAAATATCCTTAGGCAGAAAGGAAGAAAGAAAACGGATCTTTCTCCTACAAACACTTAATTGCAGTCTCTCTACGTTTGCAAAATAACTCTAATCACTGTTTCCGGTGAGCCTCTGGAGCACCAACGCTGCTGGCACCCTGGCACTCTAGAGAGATGGGTGAGTGCTGTTAATCCCAGGGGAGGATACTGAGATCAGAGAGGTGGCATGAGTGGATTGAGACCTTGCAGTGAGCGAGCGATCGGTAAAAAACGCTGCAACATGCACCGAGAGAAACTGGTCTCTTCAGCTTCCTCTCGAGATGATGCTCTGTTTCAAATGCTGGATGTCTCCTGGTGGAGAATGCCTCTCCTTTACAGCTAGCCCTCACAGAGCCTTAACCCAGACTCTGTCCCTTCAGCATGGCAGCATGCTTCATGTTGCAGTTGGGCTACCTCGCATGCAGCGATGCTTGCTGCTTTTCTACCTCCTCTCCATTCCCTGAAAATCACAGTAGCTGAGTGGACTGTGGCTAGATGAAGGGAAAAAAGGCACAGGTTAGGGTATAGTTTTTCCTCCCCGTGTATTTTTCCAGGCAATGTTGTCTGGAGCTACAGGCATCCCAGGTAAGGGAGAGAAAAACAACATCCTGTTGTGCGACAAATGGAGCACGGTGAGTGCATTGACATCCGAAAGCACAGGCAGAAGCAGGCACTGCCATCCCAAGTTGGGATAAAATGCAGCCATGCTGCAGCTGTGCCATGGACACCGGGGCAGATAAGGTGGCAGGACTGATGCCCAGACATTAGACACAAGAGAGATTTAAAGAGAATGTTTCCCTGCCCAGGAAAACTGCTCCTGTGGTCAGTGAGACCATTTCACCTTTGCTAGAAGTGCCCTCATGGAGATACTCTCTGAGGTACACCACAAAAAGGAGGTCTTGTAATTTTAGCTTCATCAAAATAGTGAGAAACCTGATCTTTTCTATTACTCACAGTTTAGAAAAGGTTGGTGGCAAGTCTAGCTGTTTGGGGTGGGTTTTTCTGGTGGAAAAGAGTCCATATTGATGAAGCTTGCTTTGGGAAGGATTCCCCTAGGTCAGAACAGGAGGGAGAGAGCTGTGCCAGGGCGCTGTGAGCGCAGGAAATTCTTTCCCTTTGTTCCAGGGCTGGGATTCAGACCCGGCTGCGCTCCAGCCCCCATGCGTACTTTAGCACGAAGTCGATGGCTGTTTTGCAGAGGAATTTTCCTTTGGGAGCTGCTTCTGCATTGTACAGCTAATTAAATATTTCCTGGGACTTGGAGAGACGGCATCTGTAGCCGGGTGATTAGAGCATCGGGTGACCTGAATCACACAGGGCCATGAACCTGGGGCTATTCAGACTGTGTAAGCTCCATGGGTCCTCATCCTAACACAACTGGGTAGCAGCATGAACAAGTCATTTTTCCATCTGGTTTCCCTCCTGTCCTCTGCCTTGACCTTAAGTGCCTTGCTATGGGGACCACACTCAGGACGGTGTCGGTGTGAATCTGGGCCCTTGGTAGCAGCTGTGAGAAAACTCTGGTAAAATGCCCCCGCGTAGGCAAGATCGAGAAAATTGCAACTCCTCTCATATCTTTTGTGGCTGAAACAAGAGATACATCCCATCTGCATTGCTTCCCACCTGGGTAGGAAAGGCCAAATTCACAGTGTGCAAGAAGGATTTGCTTCAAACCCTTGCTGGCCTCGTCTTGGATTAGGAACATCTGAGCAATTGCAGGGGTGGTTTTAGGCAGAGGACGGTAATCCCCAAGTTCAAGATTTACAGCAAATCAGCCTGTTAGCAGGTGTCAATCGACATAACTGCATTGAAGCAGAGGATCTGTTCCTCCTGGGATAAACCTCAAGGTTCACAAAAAGGCCAAGTTCAGGATATGCCAATTCACCATCTGCAGCTGAGCAAATGGTACAGTAGCAATTTCCCAGCAGGATATTCTAAACATTTTTACTAAGTCAGAGAGACAGAAGGCATTTTCCTTGAGCTCTCTGATCAACACGCAGGCATGCTGCTGGGCGGGTCTGTAGGACTTAGACAAATAAAGGATTTATTTAGACTGGTACACTTGACCCCCCTCATTTAACTCTTGCAGCTGCAAGTAGATTCAGGCCAAGGGGAGGTGGCTGAAGGCTGGCTGAAGTTTTTCTTATTTATGCTGAGAGGGAAGGAAAGATAATAATGGAGACAAAATCCATGCATTTTGTCTTTGCTCAGGTGATCTAGCTAAGAAAAATGCATCTCTATTCTGGACATAGTCTCCAGGAAGGGCAGGGAGTAATTAGGCCACTTGCTCCACGGATGTAGTGCAATATTGACAACGCCACTAGAGTCACCTCTGTGCTGCGAATAGGAATCACTGTCAAAATTGAGTATCTCTTCATTTTTGCCCCTGTAGCATGATCTTTATTTCTTTATTTCTATTAATTTTCCACATCACGATAAAGGAAAGCAGAATATAATCCTACAGTAACTAGCCAGTGCATCCGCAGCGAGTGTGAACCAGCCCCAATCCCATGACTTTGGGATCACCACAGCAATATAAAACTTGAAATCTCACACGTGAAAGGAAGCACTTGAAATTATTTCTCATCTCTGAGAAAACTCACAGGGTTTCTAACTACCTAACTCCCTTCCCCTCCACCTTCCAGCTCCAGGACAGTGTTACATGGACTGAACCAGGGCAGAGACAGACCTCAGCAGGTAGAGAAAGGAGTCCCACCGAGTCCCTCAGCCCATGCAGGGCCCTGGGCAGGACACGCTGCTTCCCTCACTGCAAACTCTAAGCATCCAGGTAAAAAGCAAATTTAGAGCAAGTGATTTTCATTGCATCCAATATTAGGAAATTTTCTCAAAGCTAATGAATATCTATAGCAGTCCTCTATCATAGTTTTATTGAAAGCAAATAACCCTTCCAAGGAGCTATCCCATTATATTTTACACATATCAAATACTAATAAGCCTTTGATAATTTCTGCTCTGTTACAACTTTAACCAATAAAGCTCCTCAGTTTAATATGCCCCAAGAGCCTTATCAAATCTCCCATTAAATATTTGTTCGATACCTTATCACCCACTCATGCTACTGTGCTGCTGGTTCAGCTCTTTAGAAAATAATAAAGCTGTATTTAGATCTTTACTGTCATTACTGTAAATACAGGAAATGGATGTCATTTCACTTTTGATCTGAGTTTCATTCTCAAGTACAAAATCCCACAAGTTTTTAGAAAACCAGTGACACTGGAACCTAAAGGCAATTCAACAGCTAAAGCGAAAAAAAACCTCTAGGAACAAGCTGCTGCATTACAGATTGTCACATTATTCCCACAGGATAGGAGAGCCGCAGGCAATTCATTAACATTTGGAGCTTTTTTTTTTTTTAAAAAAAAAAATTCTCTCTATTTTGTTTTATTAATTTGTTTTTTAGTTCCTAAATGCAATCCTGGCATTTTTCTCATCTAGAAACACACTGACAATTCAGCCTTTGCTCACACGGCAGAATCTAATCCACACTCAGAAAAGGCAAGTGGCCACACATATGTATATAAAAAATACTGTTGATCTGTATTGCCCCCTGCTCCCAATTCTCATGATTAAATCACAGGAGAAAAGAATCTTGCTGTGTTTTAAGCTGTTGGATACGATGAAGACTAGCAAAAAATGCAAGCAGGATTCACACAAACCTTGCTTTTCTTCTCCTCAAGAGTTAAGGGACATGGTCTGTAATATGAACATTTTGAATAATGTTTGCAATTTTCCTTTCTTTCATGTAATCATAATCTATGAGCAACATGCAGAGAGAAGCAGGGCTATCTTGATCTATGAAATTTCCTCTTAGATAAAAACTTCCAAAAGGCAGACAGGCAATTTAGACATACAACTTCTATTGAAAACCCTTGGGATTTCTGCATTTAACTCTACTTTATGCTCTGAAATTCCTCCCCTTTTATCTGTTTCTTTAAAATGTTTAATGTTTTTAAATTTTCTAATGTATTCTAAACCCATTTATATTGAGGAAAGCAAGAGACATACACAGGAAGGGCAGAAAAATAAAAATAAAACCAGCATGAGTCTAGCGTCTCTGCATAACATGCAATTTCACTTGTTCCGGAAGGGAAATTTATCTTGAGTTTGCTACTGCATAATATTTAGACATGTACAAATTGTTGCACATCCTTTTAATGAAGAGAGTAGAAAATCTCTGAAAGAACATAAATTTCACTCCCAGCCTAACAGGAATAAATTCCCATTTACTCTTGAGTTTCTGTAATTTTGGTTTCTCCATCCATGGTAATAACCTCAGAGGTCTGCTATGGGGCATGCAGGGGATTTTAGTAATTGGATGGGGAAAGACTTTGCTTGCTGTTAGAGCTAAGTCTGTAACCCACTGAGCAGGTTCCCCAGGGCATCACAGAAATGGAGAATAAAGTTTGGGTACCCAGTAAAAGTCACACAGGAAAAAATATCTACAGAGACAGGTTATTTGCACTCTGTAGGTATTTGGGCACATACTCTGCAAGGAATGATCTGAGATTTGATGCAAATGTAATCTCTTTCTGTTCACTCTTACGAAACACTTCTGGAAATAAACACAAACCCACCCTTAGGACAGAGCAAGAGGCCCACAGGAGATAAATGCAGGTTTGTGCAGGGGGCAACTGCTCTGATGGGATCCAGGTGGTTGTGAACCAAGCCATAGCAGTCTCCATACCAAAAGCTTCTCCCCAGGAAATCCTAATACATGAATTTCAGACATGTGTAATCCTGACCCTGTGCCTGACAAGGAGCCCAGGTCTCAGGCTGCTCATTCGGAGGGGCGCTGCTGTGGATCTAACTCGCTCCTGCTGGCTCTGAGCTCTTAATCAGAGACTGTCCTCTTCAGGGAGCGCATCCTCTTCAGGGAGCGCAGGAAAAGCCCCACTTGATTTGATTAAGATGAGAGACAAGCTGAGTGTGAGCCTTCGGAAAAACAGAAATCCCCAGCTCTCCCATTGAGTTGTCTTCCCAGGTGGAAGTGAGGGGCTAGGTCTCTGCATCTATTCTGCTCTGTTTACTCCAGATCAGGATTTGGCCAATATAGTTATCGTTAGGAGGCATAGAGGGAAGAGGCAACTTTCTCAGATCTAACCTTTCTGCCAATGAGTGTTTTGGGACTTAGTTAAATATTGGGTCCCATTAAAGACCAGAGCTGAGCTAAGTGGGAAAGAGGAGACATTTAGGAAGGTGAAGAGGCATTTCCTTAGGGTGTCCGGGAAGAGCACCTGCCTGTGACACAGACTGAGGTGCTCTCGATACTTACCAGGCACAGCAGGATTGGAAGAAGGGAGTGAGGAAGAAGATGCCCAGATACGGGTCCATGTGAAATATAAAATCCAAATGAAAAGTGAGAAAGGAGATATTAAAAAATACTTGGGTACCACCACTACCAGAGAAAATAAAATAAAATAAAAAAGATAAAAGAAAAAAGAAACACAACAAAATTAAGGAAAGGATGGAGTTATTTTCCACCCGGCAGTCCTGGTGTGATGAAGAGGCGTATGCCCCCTGAATCCCAAGTTCCGTGAAGGGTAACCACTCCTAAAGTAAGAGCTAAAGGACGTTGGTGAAATGGAGCCGCAGAACTTCCTAAGAAGAGATTATCTACTTAATTAAAGATTTTTTTTTCCTAAGTCCTTCAGCCAATCAGGACTCAAGTGCCAGAGAGAGATTGAACTGATGAAAAGAACACCCCAGGTTCCTCGAAGACAAATGCACCACGAAAGGGATAAGAGGGAGGGAAAAGGGGAAAACAAAAAAAAAAAAAAAGAAAGAAAAAAAGAGAGAGAGAGGGATAAAGAAAGAGACAGAAAATCCCTTAAAGTAATCACTAGATTCAATCTCCACCAGCACTGCCCTGCCTCTCCATCCCCTGCAAAGGCAACTGGAAGGGCTGCTTTTGGCATGCTCTTGCCTCCTCCTGTCTCAGAGACATCGCTGGGGCCGGGGCGTGCTGGGTGCTCTGGGGTGGGGGGCTTGGGTTCAGGCCACCTGTGCCCGCTGCTTGGAGGCCAGGCAGCGTGCTTCAGGGAGAAGGCTGGGAAACAGATACATGAACATCTTCTTTGCCTCATTGTCCCCCAGGAGAGGGTCCAGTTCCTGCCTCCATCTGCTCCCCCTTTATCATGGCGACCCATTCTTTCTTCCCACCTCCCGTTCGCAACACGCCACTGTCAGCCTAGGAGAAGGGCCTTTGACTAAACTTTCCTAGCCCCCCTTGATTTTTTGCTTTTTGGATTTTCAGTTAAGTCCGTGGGAGGGGGCCTTTGATTTGGGAGGGTCAGTGGTCTCTTAGTGAGGGCTTATCCCAGGCCAAGAGCCTGTGTCTCCTGGCTGTGTGGGACACTCTGGTTGCTATGATGCTGCCCACCACAGCCACTCCAACCGGCCACAGGCCAGCAGGACCAGATGTGCCTCTATCCCAGAGCCACAGGAGCATCTTCCCCACACTGCACAGCTGATTTTTGTGCTGTGGTCACAATCGGATAAAATGTGGGCTGAGACCACTCAAACTCAGCTCACCCAGGGTGCAGCTGCTGGGCAGAAAGGCTGGACCAGGGCAGGATTTGAAGGGGTGCGAGACCCCGTGGCTGTGCCGGCAGGCAGGGCTGGCTGGACGCTGAGCTTTGCTCAGGGCCACCTCAGGAGGACAAAAGTCTCTCTTGGGTCACAGTCTTGAGGAGGGAGACCTGTCCAGTAGATGTTTCCTCTTAGCTAGGCTTTGGCCATTCTACACCAAGACCAGCTCTGCCTAAGTCGTGGCAAACCCCGACCTTTGCCCGGAGTGCTGCCCACCCAGCAGGGCCCCTCGCCCAGGCAGGGGAAGGAGGTGGGGGCACCTAGGTGAGGAGAAAATTCAGCCTCCAGCAATTGATCCCAGGGGCAGCTGTGCCTCCCAGCTGCATGCCGTTACAGCAAGGCTGACGGGGTTTGCATTGATTAAAGTCCCAGCTCCTGGAGCTGTGAGCGTTTGAAAAATTAAGGTGTTACTTACACTGAGAAAAAGCTCGGAAATTTATCCGGTAGAAGATAAAACCCCAGAAACTGAAAGGTGAGGGAAAGAAGCCATTTGTGTGTTTATTTATCTCTATCATTTATTAAAATGAAACAGGATTTTAATGTGATGTTTAACATGGTTTAATGGTTTTAGTGGCCTAATTCAAGCACTAGAGGTGGCTGTGCTTTCCCTGCCAGGAGAGGCTGTCCTGGACCCGGTGCAGGGAGCAGCGGCAGAAGCTGAGGCTGCCCCGGGGGAGCTGAGGGACTGTGGGAGAGCACTGGTGGGATGTAGTGGATGCTGCTGCCCTGTACTTGGCATTTATTTCCAGTGTCAGGAAAAAGAAGACTCTCCAGTGGTTTCTTGTAAGTCTCAAAATGTCTGTTTCAGGACTCTTGAACTGGAGTTTTCTCATTCCTCAGCTCCGGCAGTGACAGCATTTTGAAATTGTGCAACGCTTTGGATATATCTTGATCAACTGGAAAGGAAGGACACCATGGGTTTCCTGGCGGTGAGCTATTTTTGTTTACTACAAGATAAATTAAGGGGACTGCAAAACGAGGGAAAAAATAATTGTAGGTGTATCCTAAATAAAGAGGATAAATTTATTTTTTAATTAACTGTTATGAGGCAGGCCAGGACTACCTTCAAGCTTACAGAAGCACCAGCAGTACTGGGTGCTTCGGGGCCAGCAGTCTCCCCAGTCAACTTTAATTTCAATTAAATATAATAGTCACTTTCCTGGAAACAAGCATGTTTTTCAAGCCAAAGAGGCTGGAGGCGAAGCCTGAAACAAAACTGTCCCAAACATGTTTCAAAGCACTTAATTACAGCTCTCAAAGGCTGTTTAATAGACTCTGTGAGGTACTCTCTAAAGAAATGGGATGCGAAATTGTTTTATAATGTTCCTCAAATTTTGTTATTGTTACCAACAAAAGCTCTGTAAATTTTCTAAAATAGGCCCAGAGAGCATTAAGATAACATTTTATGGTCAGAAGCCCTGGTTTATTATTACATCTGACCCATTGGCCAATACTGATCTCAACTAACCTTTGCACTGGCTGCTGTAATGTGTGTTTGACTATTTGCTCATCTCCCAGAACAGCAGACAGGGTTTGAGGACACGAAAAGATAGAGAGTGTACTACCATCTGCAGTAATTTGTTTGTTTCTTAAAAAAAAAAACACCACAAAAAACACAAACAAAAACATTAATATAAGATGTTGAGCTTTAATTTCCAGAGTGCAGGGAAGATCTGAACTGTGCTTAAAGAGCTTGTGCAAGTAATCACAGAAGGAGTAAGAAATAAAGGCTATAATGCTGTTGTTACTTTCCACTGTAGTACTAACGCAACTGATGGATATGAAAAATGAGGGTAAGAAGTGAGAGTAAGAAATCCAGGTCTGACTCACAGCTATCTCAAAAATTTCTTGGTGTCAATGCAAAGTGGCCAAAGGACCTATTTTTTAAAAACAAAACGGCCATTTAAAAGGTCAAGAAAGAATTAGAAATCTCTTGTTTTAAAAGATATACAAAAGCTATGAGATCAAAATGAAAAGAAATTAATCTTTGTCTAGGGAGCACACAGAATTCAACCCTGAAAGAGATGGAAAAAAAATCAGAAAGGTTCAGCTTCCCAGTGCAGTAAGCAGACTTCAACTGACTTACCTGCAGTTTTGCCTTTTGCACCCGCTAAGTATGGCTTCAGTGGTGCCTAATGCCTGTAAAAACATCTTCCAGCACCCTGAGAAAGTTTAAGTGTTGTTTGCAATCCTGTGCTGAACATGCCCTGTGCTATTCTGCTCCTGCAGTCAAGTGGTTCCAGAAACAAAGCCAGACAAAAGCTGGGGAAATTTAATAGCTTTTATTAGATTGACTGATACGCAATGGAGAAGCAAACTTTTTTTTTTTTCTTTTTAATCGTTTTGGCTCTGAAAAGTCGGGAAAGATGCTGATGTGCCCAGAAGCCTGTCTGCTGGTTTTGGGGGTATTTTTTAGCTATATCAGTCTGAGATTGTGCCATAAAGATGATATTGACACACCAGGACACACAAATGGCTGCACGGCCTCTGTGATGTAAGCTTGACTTTGTAACCTTTATGTTCCCTAATGTTGTTCTCTGCATGGGTGACACAGGCTGAGCAGCCTCCCATAAAGTCTCCTTGTGCTTTACCAGTATTGAATTTATCCTCACGTTTGAATGTTCTCCTTATAGTTCATGCAGGGACAGGTCAGGGGTTCTTTGCCTGTTGCAGAGAGCGGTGTGACTGGAAATATCCATCACAGATCTCATAGGAAGCGGCTTCTTTCAAACTGTGGAGAAAAGCAGAAGGGTCAGATGTCTAGGCTGTTCTTCAGTTGCTGGAGAAAAGCCTAAGGCATGCACAAGAAACCAAGAGAATTATTTCATAGCAGAAGGGACAGAAATGGTGCAATGGCTATAGCGAGTCGGTTCAAGGACACCTACAAAATGTTTTCCACCTGCAGCTCTCAAAGTGCCTCAGCAAAACAGTTCCCCCATTTTTCGCATTTTACAGGATGCAAAACTGAAACAGGGAGCCCGGCAGTGCTCTGGGGATAGACCCAGCCTTCTATGCCTGAGGCTGGCCTCAGCCTCCATCTGAGCAGTCTGATGCTCAAGGCAGCCAGTTTCAGGGGAAAGGCAAAGGTCTCTGGGGAAACATCCTCTTTAACCCTGGTACACAGAAGTAGATTGTGCCCTGGAGCAACTGAGCTTAGAGCACTTCAGAAGCTCATGTTCATCCTTAAGTTGTGTTACATTGATTCCTTTATGACATACTCTCAGTTAAAGTACTAGAGGATCTTCATTCTGACTGATCTCAACTTGCCATGGCAGTGACTTGCACAGGCTCACAGTATCTTAGCTAAAAAAGTATCTGAGAGTCCAGAAGGCAAGTGTGGCTCCAGAGCATCTTTTTCCAGTACCCACTAACTGGGCAGCTGAGGGCTGCAAGAAGGAAAGGGACAGACATGCTGAAAGGTGGGATATCTGGGTATGAAAATAAAAGGAAAGTGAGGAAGTGGTGTGCCATTACAGGACAAGCAGGATCAGCTTGGAGAAAAAGGACTGTGAGGATGGGATGGAAATTATTGTGTAGGGCTCCAGGAAGGTGTAATTAGAATGAGCAGGACTGAGCGAGTCGAAGCGCATTCCTGGCTGGCTGGCAGGAGGTGAGATAATCCTGGAAGTGCGAAGGACCATACTGAGCTCCCAGGTCTAGGAACACACCCTGGCTGCTTGTCAGCCACACCTCACTCCTGTCCCCGTGCATCTCCAAGGAAAGCCAGATTCCCGTGTGGAGCA